CGTGGTCGTCCTGCTCCAGCTCGTCTGCGGTACAGGCAGGGACAGGGTGCAGTACAGCGGCAGCGGAACGGGTGAGATGCAGAGCACAGGCCTGTGCTGCGGCAAGGCCGCAAGATGCAGGTCAGGGAGCCGTGCGGGGTCGACAGCTGCGCTCTGCAAGGAACAGTAAAGGAATGCAGAGCGCTCCACCAAGCAGACCCCCACCACCCGCGCCAGTCAGCCGCAACGCCGCAGCGCCTCCACCAGGCTCCACGCCTCCAGCCCCAGGGCAGCCACCCTACCACCGGCCGCCTGGCATGCCCGCCCACCCAGCTGCCCCAGCGCAACCACACTGCTGCCGCAGCGCAGCGGCAGCCCTGCCGCTGCACAAGCCAGCCACCCCAAGCCAGCACCCACCCAGCTGCTTCTTGCGCTCCACCGCCAGGCGGTACACCTGCTCCTTGTACTCCAGGTCCCGCCGCTCCTTGTCCGTCAGCTTCACGCCCTGCGGTACAGCGGCGCAGCAGGCGGCACGCAGTACGACGCGCCGGCATGAGCCACCCTGTGGTGGCACCAGAGTATGGGCTGCATGCCGAGGGGCTGGGGAACCCCACACATCGGCGGGGCAGCCCTTGACCACGCCCCCGCCAGTCGCCCTTCCACGCCACAACCCGGCCGCGCTGCCTGTATCACGGCCATGGTACGGTCAGGCGGTACCGCCCACCTGGAACAGGTACTTCTCGTCCTCCAGCGCCTCCTTCAGCTCCTCCAGCTTTGCATCCTCCCGCTTCTTGAGGTACTCCTGGCGCGACACATCCCTAGAAAACACAGGTGGCGGAAAAGGAGGAGGGCAGGGCAAGCAGCGGGCTGGGGGTCGGGCGGCGGCACAGCAGCCACAGGCTAGCAGATGGTCACCCAAGGCACACGCCGAGAGCGCGGCCCGCCTGCCAGGCGGGCTCCGCAGCGGAGCATGCTGTGCACGCCCGGCGCAGAGGAGGCGCAGGCCAGGCACCAGGCGCGACGACGCAGCGAGGGTTGAGAAGCCACCCTACAGCCACCCAACAGCCACGCACAGCCACCCCACAGCCGCCCCACAGCCAGCCAGCCCATCCCCACCACCCCCACCCCCACCTCAGCGTGGCGATGGTGCCCTTGCGGTCTTCGGCCTCCTCCGCCCTGCGCCGCCGCTCCGCCTCCTCCAGCTCCTCCTTGGGGATTCGCTTCTCGGCCAGCTTGCGGGTGCGGGCCTGCAGGCGTGACGTGGCCAGGCGGCTGTTTTTAGGTGTGCGGGCGTGTGGCGGGCATGACGGGGGCAGGCAGGCAGGGCAGGCAAGCAGCGCCGGGACCTTGCACGCCGCCTGCACGCCTGCACCCCGAAAGCGGAGCGGCGCGGAGCAGGCGCCCGCCTGCTCGCTGCGCGGCACGGTGCAGCAGCGGAGCGCGGCGCAGCGCAGCGTGCACGACGTGGCACAGCGTGCAAAGCGCGGCACAGCGTGCAAAGCGCAGCAGGCAGCGGCGCACCTCGTCCCGCTCCTTGAGCCGCTGCTCAAACTCCTCCCGCTCCCGTAGATCCGCCTCCCGCTCCTCCACCTTGCGCTTCTCCGCCGCAGCGGCCGCGTCCTCTGCGGCACGCAGCAGCAGCGGCAGCAGCAGCAGCAGGGGAGGTGTAGGCATTGGGGGCACGTGGGCAGGTTATGCAGGGCACAAGGTGGAAGGCCGCAGGGCGCAGGCGCCGCGGTTGATTTCCATGCAGGCTGAGGGAGGTGTGCAAGGTCGCTGCAGCGCAGCGGGCGGGCAAGCACGGCACAGCGGCGGGCAGTACACGGGCGCACCCTCATCCTCCTCCCACGCCCGCTTCCTGCTCTTCTTCTTCACCACCGTGTCGTCCTCCCCATCCGCCTCCTGCCGGCTCTTGCGAAGGTGCGCCTTCTTGCCGCCGCCGCCGCCGTCCTGCTGCTGCTCGCGCTGCCGTTGCGCCTCCTGCTGCTGCTGCTGCCGCCGCCGCTCCTCCTCCTCCCGCTCCTCCTCGTCGTCCGCCAGGAGGGCGTACTGCTGCTGCTTGCGGGCAAAGGCCGCGGCCTCTGCCTCGCGCTGCCGCTGCGCGGCGGCGGCGGCGGCGGCAAGAAGGCGCACCGCCGCCCCGCGGCAGCCGTGCCATCAGGTCGGCAGCAAACTGGCGGGTGGTGCCGCCGGGAGGCAGGCCCTGCCCCTCCAGCGTGCTGGCCAGGGCTCCTGCATCCTTGGCCTTCTTTCCAAGCGATACACAATAGTCAACCAGCGCCCGCTCAGCAAAGCCTGCAGGGGCGAGGTTGGCGGTGAGCGGTGTGGGGCAGGCAGCCGGGGCAGCCGGCAGGAGTTGGGTGCGCTAGACGGCACACCATGTCCCAGTGGCAATGCTTCTTGTGGCAGCGTGCAGTGAGCGAAGAGAGGAGGTGGGGTGGCAGGCGGCGGCGGCGGCAGCTTGCCTAGCAGCGCATACAGCTGGTCCTCCACCCAGGCCCGCGTGGCCTTGTCCGCCATCCCCCGCCGCGCCTGCTGGCGGCCTCCCGAGGGGTAGAGAGGCCGCTGCGAGTGTGATGAGGCGGGGAGCAAGCACCGCTAGCCCTGCGGCGCGCCTCAGTCGGCTGCAATGATGGTGCAGATGTGCTGGAAGCAGCGAGGGGCTGCAACGATGCCACACCACCAGCCCACGATCAATGCAAGGACTTTGGAGGGGTGGGCAGTGCTGGCAATGACAGCAGCGATGTGCTGGTTGCTTGAGGGGGTGAAAGACATCAAGTGGAGAGCAGGGGCGCCTCGGCGCTCGCGTCGAGCTGTCCTGACGTGTCCAGCCGGCGGGTTGCCTGAAAACTGCATCTGGGCAAGCCTTGCACAACCCACAGAGGTGCCGAATCTCCCATGGTGTCCGCCGCCTCCCTCCCTTGCCTGCAATGAGCGGTCAGCCTGCAGACAGCAAAGGTGGGCTGTGCTGCTGGTTTCGGTGCTTGCATTGTGATGACTATCATACCAACTTGTGTAACCGCATGCTCCCTACGCCCCACTCCCTTCTCTTTGCCCATTAGTGGTGATTCTCTTTAAGCAAACCGGCGACGCCCCCATCCTCAAGCAGAACAAAGTCAAGGCGAGTCCAGCAGCACGGCGGGGCCTGCAGGCGCGGCGCTGGGGGACTTGCCGCGTGTGCCTCCCAGTCGCCTGCTGCCGCCACAACCCCGCCCTTCGCGCCTTACGCGCCCGCAGATCGACGGCCAGGAGCGCTTTGCCAAGCTCGTCGACTTCCTGCGCAAGAAGCTGGGCCGCGACCAAGTGGTGCGCCTGCCAGCCCGCCGCCAGCAGCTCCCGCCGCCGCTGCCTGCAAGCAGCGCTTCTCGCACGCCCGCCGCCGCCTTCGCACGCCGCCGCCTGCCGCCCACCCTGTACCGCCCACTGCGTACCGCCCCTGCACCCGCAGTTTATGTACCTCAAGGAGGCCTTCTCTCCCAGCCCCGAGGAGCGCATCGCCACCCTGCACGACGCGTTTGCCGTGGACGGCCGCCTCGTGGTCAATTACGCCCTCACCCCCGCCTGGGGCTGAACCGTAACTGGGGCTGCACCTTCAGCCGGTCGCGGGTGCTGGCACGGGGGTGCCGCACGTGTGTGCCGCATCGCGGTCAACGCCGCCGGTCAAACCCGGCGCCGCGCCCTCCTGCGGAGCGCCGCGGGTTGCCAGCCAGGTTGCCAGCGAGAGGGCGCTCGGCGTTGAGGAGTAGCTCACCGGCTAGCGAGCCCGGCGGTTTACACGCGCAGCGCAGCAGGCAGGCAGCACGCCCAGCGGCAGCCCGCAGCCAGGCGGCGCCGCCATGACTCGCTACTTCCTCATGCGCTGCGCCGACGCGCGGCTGCTTTACGTGGCGCACAAGCGCGGCGTGTGGCCCGTCTCCTACGGAGTGGTGGACCGCCTCAACGAGGCCTTTGCGGCAGGTGCGGAGGTGGCGGTGGCGGCGGTGGCTGCGGGAAGGCGCTGAGGCGTGGCGGGCAGCAGGCCGGCGCGGACGGCGGCGAGGCTGGCTGGGCGCCGCTGGCGTGCGGTGTGCAGGCAGCCGGCGGGCAGCACCGGGCGGGCAGCGCGGGCCTCTGGCCGCCTGGGCCGCCTGGCCTGCACAGCGTGTGCCGCCTGCGCCGTCCACGTGCATGTACCGCCTGTACCGCAGGCGAACCCATCACCCTCATCTTTACTATCTCCGGCTCCGGCGCCTTCCAGGGCGCAGCCCGCATGCTCACCGCCGCGGGCACCAGCGAAGGGGTGAGCCCAGCGGAGCCTAGCGCTGCGGCGGTGCTGGGGAGCTGGAGTGCCGGGAAGTCTGCCGTCCCCGCTTCCCCGGCCCTGGCATGGCAGCAAGGCGGCCCGCTGGGCCTGCCCTGCTCCTGCCTTGACGCCCTGCCTGGAGGCACCTGCCCTGCCCTGCCCTGACCTGTTGTGACCTGTTGTACCCTGTTCTGACCTGGGCGGCCTGCCCGGTTGTGTGTCAGGC